TCCCAAGGCACGGGATTACAGGCTGAGCCACCGAGCCCGGCTCGTCATGCTTTTTTTTTTACAACTTCCTGAGAATCTGTGATGACTTCAAAATAATAAATCAAATAACATGACAACATTCATTCCTATAGCATAACGCCAAATGCAAAAAGTTAAAAGGATGTATATAATAGTGTGTATGTGTGTATATACGAGAGGACCTCAAAAGTGGAATTTACTATAACAAATTGTGTCTTTATTCTTTTTTTATTCTGAGTCGGGGGTCTCACTCTGTTGCGTAGGCTGGAGTGCGGTCGCATGCTCATGTCCACTGCAGCCTCTGCCTGCTGGTGATCCGTCGGCCTCAGCCTTCCAGGTAGCTGGAACTACAGGCGTGTGCCACCATACCCAGCTAATTTTTTAATTTATTGTAGAGATGAGGTCTCGACAAGTTGTCCAGGCTGATCTCAAACCCCTGGACTCAATCTGCTCGCCTCAGCCTCCCAAAGTGCTGGGATTACAGGCATGAGCCATTTCACCCGGCTTATTTATTCTTCCATGTTTAAACTTCAGTCACCTTCAAATTACTCTGTTACATGCAATACACCTATCAAGACCCTTTTCCCACGACTCAAAACTGTGTTTGAACTCATCAGTTTTGTTTCACCTCTTCCACATTGGCAAAATGTTTCCCACTGAGGACGTTTTGCATCTGGGGAAACAAACAAAAGGTGCTTGGGGAGAGATCCAGTGCATAGGGTGAGTGGGGCATAGTGGTCATGTCATTTTGGGGTCAAAAACCGCTGAACACTCAGCATGGTGTGAGCAAGTCCTGTTAGGGTACAGATCGTGAGGGGGAATGGACGAATGGGGAGGTGCAGCACCACTGGAGCCAGTATGCCGGAGGTGCGTGCTGGTAACCAGAGACCCGAGAAATGCAAAGACTTGCAACACACAAAGAGGTGAAAGAAGAAAAGATTGATTTCAGAAAGGCTCACTTCCCACAGACAGGAAGCAGGCCCCCAACTCTAGCTGAGTGTCGCCCTGTAGCTCCCCCAAGCCCCGGCGTAAATCCTTTCCCTTGGAGGTGTTGCAATCAGGTGGAGGTGACTGCTGTGACTTCCTTGTTGACCGCCTGCAAATGTCTTGGAGACCCTGAGGGGGGTCCCGGTCACCATGCACCAAGTATTCAATGGGTTGATACTGGTCATGCTTGAGAGGCCTGGGTTTCTAAAAAGACAAATTACAATAGGCCAGTACTGGTCATGCTTAAGGACTCTGTGTTTCTGAAAAGTAAGGGGTCAGTGCTTCTGAAAAGACAAAGTCAGCAAAGTTGATCTTTATCTAGAGTATGCATTTCTTCAAAACATGGCTTCTACTTTCTCATCATTGTATTAAGGTTTAGGAACAAGATAAAAAATGGATTTCTCCAGAACATAGCTTCTACTTCTTCCTCATCGTGTCAGGGTTTAAGAACAAGATGAAAAACGGCTTCCCACTCTCGGTCTGTCCTTTCAAGGTGTGTTGTCATGGTGGAAGAACCAGTCACCTGTTTGCCACAACTCAGGAAGTTTCTTCCACAAATCCTGACACAAGCTTCACAAAACTTCTAGATAAAAGCTTTGGTTGAGGCCGGGCTCAGTGGCTCAGCCTGTAATCCCAGCACTTTGGGAGGCCAAGGAAAGTGGATTGCCTGAGCCTGCGGGTTTGAGACCCACCTGGGCAACTTGGTGAGCCCTTGTCTCTACAATAAATCAAAAAATTAGCCAGGGGTGGTAGCGCACGCCTGTAGTTCCAGTTACTGGGAAGGCTGAGGTGGGAGGATTGCCGGAGCCCAGCAGGTCGAGGCTGCAGTGGCCGGGAGCGGCCACTGCACTCCAGTCTGGGCGACAGAGTGAGACTCCAACTCAAAAAAAAAAGTTTTGGTTGACTGTTTGATCTGGAGGAACAAATTTCGAGTGTACTGCAAGGGGCTTGCCCTCCAGACGATAGTTCCAGTTTTTGTGGGTCCACCTCTCACATATTATATAATACATACTGTATATACATATACACACATATACATACCTAATGTTGTAAATAGTGGTTGTCTTTTTTTTTTTTGAGTAGGAGTCTCACTCTGTCACCCAGGCTTGAGTGTAGTGACACACTCACAGCCACCACTGCCTCAGCCCACTGGGCTCAGGCGATCCTTCCACCTCAGCCTTACAGGAAACTGGAACTACAGGTGTGCACCACCATGCCCAGCTAATTTTTTGATTTATTGTAGAGAAGAGGTCTTACCAAGTTGCCCAGGCTAGTCTCGATCCCCTGTACTTAGACAATCCTCTCACTTCCGCCTCCCAAAGTGCTGGGATTACAGGCATGATCCACCACCCAGCCAGTGGTTGTGTTTAGATGGATTTTTTTTTTTTACATTCATGTGACTTCCAAATACACGTGTATTATTTTTAGGATGGAAAACAAAATTTCTTAAAGGAGGGAAAACATCCACCACAGGTGTATGAATGGAATTTTTTCTTTCTTTTTTTGAGTTGGAGTCTCACTCTGTCACCCAGGCTGGAGTGCAGTGGTATCCTCCTGGCTACCACAGCCTCAGGTGATCCTTCCCCCTCATCCTTCCAAGTAGGTGGAACTACAGGGACACACCACCATGCCTGGCTAATTTTTTGATTTATTGTAGCGATGTGGACTCACCAAATTGCCCAGGCTGGTCTCGAACCCCAGAGCTCAGGCAATCCTCCCACCTCGGCCTCCCAAAATGCTGGGATTATAGGCGTGAGCCACCACGCCCGGCTGGAATTTTTTCTTTTTAACTGACACATCTGCCTGTGTTCTTTCTGAAATCTCCCCACTTCCCAAACTAGAAGAAGAGCCAGATGTTCTGCTTTGTTTTGCCTCCTGAGATTCTGGCTCTTTCCATTCTAGGCTGTTGACAGCAGCTCCAACCCACTCTCCGTGTAGAACACTGTTAAACACAAGGCAAAAGTTAATAACTCTCCCCATGGTGCTGTCTAATGATGCTTGTGGTTGATCTGTTTCTCATCCTTCTCAAGTGGTTCTCTCAGAAAAACTGGGAGAGGCAAAAAAAAAAAAAAGAGACTGCTTCAGTGGAAACTTTGGTTTTCTGTCCATAGATGAATAGTGACCTCTCTTTTTCTTGCACATGTCAGGCACCAGAAAGTTCTTTCTACTCCCATTCTTCCCAAGGCCTTTTCAGATTCCACATGCAATTCTCAGTCCTTTGGGATTTCTTGAACTTCTCAAAGTATTCGAAGGACTTGACCAACCCCATCAGGATACTAGTAAGGTCATTCGAAGCAGTGACTTCAGAATCAGAATCGCCTGCAACTTAAGTGCATCTCAGAAAACAGCTGCCAAGCCCTCTCGCGTGCTGAGCCTACCCTGGCCCTATGGATACAAAGTGAGTGAAACGCCATCCCTGCCTCTGAGCTTAGAGTATGGCCTGCTTTGTAAATCTGGGCATTGGGGGCTGGGCCTGGTGGCTCAGCCTGTAATCCCAGTACTTTGGGAGGCCAAGGTGAGTGGATTGCCTGAGCCTGCACGTTCGAGACCAACCCGGGCAACTTGGTGAGACCTCGTCTCTACAATAAATGAAAAATTGGCCAGGTGTGGTAGCCTGCCCCTGTAGTTCGGAGGCCAACAGATTGGCGCTGGGGTGACCGTGATCATGCCCTTGCGCTCTAGCCTGGGCCACGGAGTGAGACTCTGTCTCAAAAAAAAAAAAAAAAAATTGGGGCAGGTTGTTGACCTCTCTGAACCTCAGTTTCCCCACTGTCTGGGCAGGAGAGTTCACTGTTTTTTGGCTCTCCCACATTCTCTTACCTATATTGAGAATGGGGAGAAAGCTTTTGTTTTGTTTTGCTTTGTTTTGTTTTTTTTGAGTTGGAGTCTCACTCTGTCAGCCAGGCTGGAGGGCAGTGGCCACTCCCGGCCACGGCAGCCTCGACCTGCTGGGCTCCGGCGATCCTTCGGCCTCAGTCTTCCGAGTAGCCGGAATTACAGGCGCGCGCCACCACGCCCGGCTGATTTTTTGATTTCTTGTAGAGTTGAGATCTCGCTGCCCAGGTGGGTCTCGAACCCGCGGGCTCAGGTCATCCACTCACCTCAGCCTCCCAAAGGCGCGGGATTACAGGCTGAGCCACCGAGCCCAGCAGCGTTTGTTTTTTTTTAAAGATGAATCTTTCTTGTGTGGATTTTTAAGCATAAAACTGCTTCTACTTACTTTTACTTTAGCCTTTAGATGAATTCAACTGGACACACCGGTCATGAAATTAGTTTCCAGCATTCCTAAATCCTTCCAATGAAAAAGACCAAACCTGTGAATGTGGATCGTGAACTCCCCTTTCATTCATGCAGTAGAAAAAGACCCTGCTGAAGAGAATGACAATAACAGAACTGAAAGCAGCTACAAGCTGTAACTTGTACTATGAACTCCTACCAGGGAGACATATGAAGAAGTAAGCAGTCATTGTTCTCATTTCCCTGTTAGAGATCATTTTGAACTCCTTGACCGCTTTTGTCTTTTTTTTTTTTTTGAGTCAGAGTCTTACTCTGTTGCCCAGGATGGAGTGCAGTGGCATGTTTGTCCGGACCATCCGGAGTTAACGGGGTACCTGAAAGAGGGAGTGGAGACTAAAAGGAATACAAGACTCCTTTAGCTGCAAAGGGAGGGCACCGGGGCTAGTCCCCGAGTGACCCCGTTTCTCTCTATTCCAAAGTTTATATACAAGCACATTACAATCAGGCATTCAGACTTCCCCAGTCTTCAACATTAAACTTCCCCTCTATCAAGAAGTGTCTGTATCCAGACTCAGACTATTTTGTCAACATTTCATATTAGTTTTGTCCTTGACCAGCACTTTCTGTACTTTGAAAGACACATACTATTCTTATCTGGACTCTGCTTTTCTAGGTAGACAGTTTCATGCTTTAACTATTTAGTCCCATGTTAGACACATGTTCACAGCCACCGCAGCCTCGACCAGCTGGGCTCAGGCGATCCTTCCACCTCAGCCTTCCAAGTAGCTGGAACCACAGGCATGTGCCACCTTGCCCAGCTAGTGTTTTTATTTATTGTAGAGACGAGGTCTCACCAAGTTGCCCAGGTTGGTCTCGAACTCCTGGGCTCATGCAATCCTCTTGCCTCCACCTCCCAAGCCCACCTTTGTCTTCATTTGTGTTGAAACTCCATCCCCATGACCAAAGACAGTTGCATAAGAGCTACAGCTGGCATCTGTAGGGTGACAGACAGTAAGGTAAGAATTTTTTTTTTTTTTTTGAGGTGGAGTCTCACTCTGTCACACAGGCTGGAGTGCAGTGGCCTGCTCACAGCCAACCCAGCGTTGACCTGCTGGGTTCAGGCAATCCTTCTGCCTCAGCCTTCCAAGTAGCCAGAACTACAGGTGCGCTACCATGCCCGGCTAAATTTTGATTTATTGTACAGACGAGGTCTCGCCAAGTTGTCCAAGCTGGACTTGAACCCG